CAAGGTTTGGGCTCCTTTCCCTTCAAGACCCGGAAGGAACTGCAGAGTCGGAAGGCTACGAGGGAAGCCTTCACTCTCGCTGACCTGAGGCAACTGCCAGAGCTGAACCCACCAGTGCTAATGCCCAGTGGGAATGTGGGGACGCCCCTGCAGGTCTTTTTGGAGTTGATCCGGGCCTGCCGCCTACCCCCTCGGATCATCACCCAGCTGCAGCTCCAGTTCCCCAAGACAGGCTCCTCCCGACGCTACGGCAATGTACCATTCAGATATGAGGACTCAGAGACTGTGGAGCAGGAAGAGCTTGTGTACACGGCTGAGGGTGAGGAAATACCCCAGGGAACCTGCCTGACAGACATACCAGCCAGCCCCTGTGGAGAGCCCGAGGAAGAAGAGGAAAAGGAGGAGGAAGAAGAATCACACTCAGATGACGTGAGTACAGTGAGCCATCCTTCCTTGCTGGCAGCTTAGAGAGGCCAAGGCATTAAGAATACCATTCTCACCCATGGTGGCTCAGAAGTTGAGCATCAACCTATGAATCGGTAGGTCAAGGTTCAATTCCCAATCAGGGTGCATGCCTGGGTTGCAGGCTCCATTCCCATTAGGGGTTGTGCAATAGGCAGCTGATTGATGATTCTCTCTCATCATTAATGTTTCTGTCCCCCTTTCCTTCTTCCTCTCTGAAGTCAGTTTAAAAACTAATAATTCATCTATGTCCCCAAAGTTCCAAGCAGAGTTGCTAACACATCTGGACCACATCCTTGTGTGGTACTGTCTTGACTTTTCTCCAGCACCTATTCTGCAACAGTGATTCCTGAGGTCTCTTGAAATTTAACTCAGATAGGGGCCCCCAAGATTTCAAACCATGAGTCATCTTATCATTCCATAAGTCCAGTCAAGCAATTGTAAACATTGCAACTATCGTAGGATTCCCAAGATAGTCTAAGACCATTTCCTGCCTTCAAAAAGCCTTAAATATCCCTGAAAAAAGAGCAGCAGCATCTGGAAAGGCTGTATGGGGTGGCAAGCTGGTTTTGAATGCTGGCTCTGCCACTCTCTTGGTTTATCTTGGGCAAATCTCTTTACTCCTCTGAACCCAAGTTTCCTCATCTGTAGACTGGGGATAATGATACTTATCTCACAGCATTGTTGGGGTGATTAAAGGAGCTAAGTTATGTGTAGGGCCTGACATCCAGTAGATAGTAGGTATTACTTGCCCCTTCTTTCTTTGTGATAGCCTATATAATAAAAGGCTAATATGCAAATCAATGTAACAGTGGATGATATGATGCACACTAACCACCAGAGGGCAGATGCTCAACCCAGGAGCTGCCCTCTGGTGGTCAGTGCGCTCCCACAGGGGAAGCACCGCTCAGCCAGAACTGGGCTCACGGCTGATGAGTGCAGCACTGGTGGCGGGAGCCTCTCCCACATCCACAGCAGCACTAAGGACCTCGTGGGGGATGTCCAACTGCCGGCTTAGGCCTGTGGACATCCCCTGAGGGGTTCCTGACTGTGAGAGGGCACAGGCCAGGCTGAGCAACAGCCCCCCCAGGGTACAAATGTTGTACACCAGACCTCTAGTCATGTTTAAAGACCTAAACAGGGTGTACCGATTAAAACTGAGTTCAGAGACCAATGAGACTACTTTGGGCCTCAGTGTGGCCAGCTCCATGTAGGCTGTAAAACTTGAGGGATGAAGAGGATTTTACCAAGTAAAGAGAAGGTGGTGAGAGTGAAAAGCAGATATTTCAGGTAGGGGGAACAGTATGACCAAAAACACAGAAATAAGAGTGAATCAGGTTTGTCAGGGGAAAGAGCGATGTTGAGAAACAGATGGAGAAATGTGTTGGTCAAGACTTCAAGGGCCTTCCAAACCGGTTTGGCCTGCGGACTGAAGGGTCCTGGGTTCGGTTCCAGTCGGGCATGTGCTTTGGTTGCAGGCACATCCCCAGTTGGGAGTGTGCAGGAGGCGGCTGATCGATGTTTCTCTCTCATCAATGTTTCTAACTCTCTGTCTCTTTCCTTTCCTCTCCTAAGAAATCAATAAAAAATTAAAAAATAAAAATTTATTTTTTAAAAAAAGACTTCAAGAGCCTAATATGTGTTGCATCCTGGAAAAATTTGGAGGAATGATGCTGAGGACTTATCTCATGGGCCTCCTGTACCTTGAGCTGCCCTCCTTGTGGGCATAAGGTCAGGAAGCTAAACAGGCAAGTCACCTCTCCTCTTTCTCCAGGACGATGACCGGTGTGAGGAGTGGGAACGGCACGAGGCGCTGCATGAGGATGTGACCGGGCAGGAGCGGACCGCTGAGCGGCTCTTTGAGGAGGAGATCGAGCTCAAGTGGGAGAAGGGCGGCTCTGGCCTGGTGTTCTACACAGATGCCCAGTTCTGGCAGGAGGAAGAAGGAGGTGATGCTGGCACCAGACTAGGACAGGAGTGTTCCCTGCTGCATTTGCTCTGGGCTTTATGTTTCACAGGGTGGAATCCCTGACAGTGCCCAATAAAAGGCTAGGAAAGTGGCTAACCTTGACTGTATATGAGACCAGTCATTTTTTATTTTATTTTTTTAATATATTTTATTGATTTTTTTACAGAGAGTAAAGGGAGAGAGACAGAGAGCCAGAAACGTCGATGAGAGAGAAACATTGACCAGCTGCCTCCTGCACACCCCCTACCGGGGATGTGCCCGCAACCAATGTACATGCCCCTGACCGGAATCAAACCCCGACCCTTCAGTCCGAAGACCAACGCTCTACCACTGAGCCAAACCGGTTTCAGTGAGACCAGTCATCCTTTTTAGGGGTGGAGGGATCAGTGGAGTGGAGAGAAAGTGCCCTCCCACAAATTCTGAATGACTCTCCCTGACGAGAGATTTAAAACTATCAAAAGCCCCAAGTTCTAGAACATATGTCTAAGTCTAGATTTAACTCTCAACAGAACTGAGAGTCCTTAAGCTGACTCTGTTTGATACTTTTATACCTACAGACTTCGATGAACAGACAGCCGATGACTGGGACGTGGACATGAGTGTGTACTACGACAGAGGTACTGGGCCAGGGGTTGCATTACTGGGAGGTGGAACTGGTGGTCTTGCAGTGACACTTTATCAGAGCTGCTTAGCAAAGGCTGAGACAGAACATCAGTTCCCTTGGGGCAGCTCACTGAGATGATTCCTCTCTTAAGAGATCTCTAGTTGAGTGTCTTAAGTGCTGATTGTAGGCAAAGCCTTTTTCTTTGTGAGCAAGGAGAAGTAGGGATAGCCCTCAGGGAACTCTGCTTCTGGTAGGCAGACCCTGGAATTGTGGGCATTGGTAGCTCACACTCTGGTTAAGAATTTAGATTCTAGAGTCAAAAATGACCTGGGTAGGGAAAGGAGGGGAAGACCTGGCTCTAAATCTCTCTTTTTGTTGGCTCTATGATTTTTCTGCACCATAATTTTCTCATTTGTAAGATGAGAGAACCATGGTTCCTATTCTTGGTAAGCTACCAGTCTAATGAGAAAATTATAAGGTAATAAAATCATTATAAATATGAATATGTAAATTTTGTGAGGAGATCTTAGATACCTGATTTCCCCCCTTCTGCAAACTGGGCTCTGCTTCCTCAGATGGTGGAGACAAAGATGCCCGAGACTCTGTCCAAATGCGCCTGGAACGGAGACTCCGTGATGGCCAGGAGTACGGCTCTGTGACTGAGTGCCAGGTGGGCACCTTTGAGCGCCACACCAAGGTGAGCAGTATGCCCAATCCATTGACCTCTCTTTTCCTTCTCTACCCCACTCTTCCTCCCACCCCCAACCCCTACCCTCCATAAGAGTTCTATCTCGTTTTTTCCCTTCCCTCTGCAGGGCATTGGACGGAAGGTGATGGAGCGACAGGGTTGGGCTGAGGGCCAGGGCCTGGGCAGCCGGTGCTCAGGTGTGCCCGAGGCCCTGGATAATGATGGCCAGCACCCCAGATGTAAGCGTGGACTGGGGTGAGTATGATAGGGATTTCCATAGGGGTCCAAGCTGCCCTTTCAGCTGTACCTTGGTCCTCCCTTCTCTCTGGCTTTGGGGTAGATGCTGGAATGTCCTAGAGAGTGAACTTCAAAGTAGAGTTAGAAGGAAAAAAATAGGTATGGATCTCCTGGTGGGGTCATTACTCCTAGTCTGAGGAGTTTGGACTTGATGATTGCTTTTGGGGGGTGACTGTAAGTCAGAGTGGTGACAGTTGTTCTAAACTTTGTACACTATTTAAAATGAAAGCATTGAGGGCCCTGGTTACTGGCACTGTCAATGAATGGATAAAGAAAAGTTCAGATTTAAAGGCTCTGTCTTGGGGACAAACCAAATGCAGTAGCTATTTCTCTGTCCTTTCCCAACTCCCTTAACTGGGTTTTGAGAGAGCCGTCCTCTCATCGAGAGCCTTTTTTAATAATCCAGGTACCACGGAGAGAAGCTACAGCCATTTGGGCAACTGAAGAGGCCCCGTAGAACTGGTTTGGGACTCATCTCCACCATTTATGATGAACCCATGCCCCAGGACCAAGGGGAGTTGCTGCTCCGACGCCAGCCACCCACCAGCATGAAATTTCGGACAGATATGACCTTTGTGAAGGGTTCCAGCTCCGCCTTTGACAGCTTCTCAAAGCCTGAGTGACAAGTTCAGGGACTTCCTTAGTTAGGATCACTCATAACTGCCCTGGCCTTTTCTCCTCTGAAGCAGGAAGAAGATGGAGCAGCAACTTGCCGCACTCCTTCAGGGTGCTTTGTTCTGAACTTGCCTTCTGGCTCTCTACCTCAGGGGCATTTTTCAAAAAGCCCCCTATTCTCTCCTTTGATATTAGGGCTTAATGACTGCTCTTCGTTGATCTCCTAATCCTGGTCCGTTTGGGCTTGCCCCTGTCACCTCCCCCTGTACCATGAAAAGCTGGATTGATTGAGGTTATCAACACAACCTTCTTTGGGTGGTGTCACCTTGAAGAGCAGAAAGAATGAGAAAGGGACCTGGAAGAGAAGAGGATTTGTGGTGTTCGGAACTGACGGTATCGGGGCGGGCCTTCCACTGCCTGTCCCCCTGACGGGCTGGGACTAGACGGCAGAGAATCCGAGGGAGGTGGTTCGGATCTGCGATTGAATGGTAGAATAAAGAAGTTTATGCCCTAACCAGTTTGGCTTAGTGGATAGAGCGTCGGCCTGCAGACTGAAAGGTCCCAGGTTCGATTCTGGTCAAGGGCATATACCCTGATTGTAGGCACATTTCCAGTGGCAAGGGTGCAGGAGGTAGCTGACAGGCGTTTCTCTCTCATGGATGCTTCTAACTCTATTCCTCTCCCTTCCTCTCTGTAAAAAAAAAAAAAAAAAAAAAAAAAAAAAAAAAAAAAAAAAATCAATAAAAAAATTTTATTTATTTTTTTAAAAAAAAGGTTTATGACCGGTTTTCTTTCTCTTCCAACTTGGGCCTAAAGTTTCCTTGCCCCACCCGAACCCATCTCCTCGCTGCTGGTGAAATGTGCGCGCCGCCGAGACCTTCGGCGCTAAGCTGTGTCGTCACCGTGAGGGCGGGACTTCCTCTCCGGGACCCTATTACTTCCGAGGTCTTCCGGAAGTTGCTGGTTTGCTTAGTACCGGGCGGTTTACTCTGCGTTGCCGGGCTCCCACCGTAGGCAACTCCGGGACACCGCCACCGCGCCACCCCCAAAGTGCACGTCGGGAATCCCGTCGCCCTCGGCTCCCGTCTCTGGCGCGGTCGCCCGCCTTGTTTCCCTGCCGAGCTTTCCCGCTGCGCACGGGGCTGAGTGCCACCCATGGCGGGGGCCGCTCGGACCCCGGCCTTTGGACAGGCTGTGATCGGCCCGCCGGGCTCGGGGAAGACCACCTACTGCCTGGGCATGAGCGAGTTCCTGCGCGCGATGGGCCGGCGCGTGGCGGTGGTGAACTTGGACCCGGCCAACGAGGGGCTGCCGTACGAGTGCGCCGTGGACGTGAGCGAGCTGGTGGGTTTGGGCGACGTGATGGACGCGCTGCGGCTGGGGCCCAACGGCGGCCTGCTGTACTGCATGGAGTACCTGGAGGCCAATCTGGACTGGCTGCGTGCCAAGCTTGACCCCCTCCGCGGCCATTACTTCCTCTTCGACTGCCCAGGCCAAGTGGAACTCTGCACGCACCATGGCTCCTTGCGCAGCATCTTCTCCCAGATGGCTCAGTGGGACCTCAGGGTGCGTCTTGGGTCGGGCAGGCCCATTTTGCAGATGAAGGAACTAAGACAGGGAGGGCATGCCACACCTCCATGTCACACAGCGAGGCAAGGGTAGAGTTGCTTTGGAGTATAACTTTCGAAATCTGGCTCTGCCACTGACGCTGTGTGATCCTGGGCAAGTCAGTTGATCTTTCTGAATCTCAGTTTTCTCATCTGTAAATGGATGTGTTAGCACCCAATTTGGGATTATTAGAAGTAAGGAAGGAGTTATGTGGAAAATAGCATGACAACTGTTGTGAGTTGGGGGCAAACGTAAGTGAAAGATTGGAGTCAAATGTAGTGGGAATTGAACCAGTTGCCCACTGGGAGGCCCAGCCCAAGGCATCTTCTAAGAAAAATGCCCATATCTCCTGGGAGAAGGAAATGAGTTGTGGCCATTAGAACGAAACCGAAGGAAAAGACTAATGGGGAAGACAGGCATCCCCAATCTGATGGGGAGACATATAGGCCCTGATGTTCCCTGCCTCCCCAGGCCACTCTCATCCTGTCTCTCCCTCCCCTCCCAGCTGACTGCTGTCCACCTGGTAGATTCTCACTACTGCACAGACCCTGCCAAGTTCATTTCAGTACTGTGCACCTCCCTGGCCACTATGCTGCATGTAGAGCTGCCCCACGTCAACCTCCTCTCCAAGATGGACCTCATTGAGCACTATGGGAAGCTAGGTAAGTGCTCCCGTTTGGGCCAGGCAAGGTGTAGGGCAGAGGCTGGGCTGGAGTGATGCAGAGATCTCAGCTGAAGGAAGCTTCCTCCAGGGCCACAGTCAGGTGCTAACCCCTCCCCATTTATTTTGTGCCACTTATGTTCTGGGGTTTGGGGACAAGAAAACTATAGATGGTAATATGTATTATGAAGGAATTAAAATGAAATGATGGACAGTGAGGGGTGGGGAGTGAGCAAGTGCCATCTGAGCTGAGACCTGAATAGTGAGGAGCTAGCTAAGGGAGAACTGTTCGAAGCAGAGGGACCAGTAGTGAGTAAAGGCCCTCAGGTAGCAAAGAGTTTTTTTGTTTGTTTGTTTTTTTCAAGGAAGGTGTGGGTAGGGTAGCTGAGATAGTGTTTAGGGGCGGGTGGTAGGAAATGAGGTCAGAGAGGTTGGCAGGGGCCAAAACTTGGACTATTTAAACACAGAGGAAAGTCGTTGATGAATATCAAACAAGGGAATAGCATGAACTGAAAAGGTCATTCTGGCTGCTTTGGGAATGAATTGAAAGGGGCAAGAATGAAAATACCCCTTCCGTATTTTTGCAACAGCCCAAGCAGTGGTGGTGGGAATGGAGAAAATGAGATTCAAAACTTGCTCAAGAAATAGGACTTATTTGTGGATTGGACCTGGAGACAGAGAAATTAAGAATGTCAGCACTTCCTGGTCAGTCAGAGTCCTGGCTCATCTCTTGGCAAGCCCACAAGCCCCATTTTACCTAAGTGCAGATTTGCAGTCACCTAAAGCTTCTCACTCCCTTCACAGCCTCCACCAGGTGGCTGCATGGTGGTCTTTAACCTTCCTAGTCCTGACTCTTGATAGGCGCCCTCACAAAAGGCTGATAAATCAGATGAGGCCATTGAGGCCCAAGACTTTACATGAATCACACAGCTAGTATGTTCGTTGAGGTAAAATCTAAATCCAAGTGTACCTGGCTCTAGTTTCTTAATTCTCATTGAGAAACCTACCTGTCAAGCAACCCAAGAAGTTTGTTGGACATTCTTCCTTGTAGTGGTGTCAGTTTCTAATTAGAGTGTGGAAGTCAGAGCACACCAGTGAGTTGATCAATCTCTGATGGCCTGTTTCCTTGGCTCATCTGCCGAATAGTCCAATCACTTGAGTTTTCCAGGCTGAAATGAACAGTGCAAGCCCACTTTACTTCTCTTGGTGGGGAGTTTGTAGACATAGAACTGAGTCAGAAACCCCAGAGTTATCTAGTCTGGTTTGCTCATTTTACATTAAGAAGGAACTGGCCCAGAAAGGGAAAGATTTACCCAGATGCCACCCTGCTAAAGTCCTTACAGTGTGTGCTGGGTCCCGGGGGTACTACCTGACCGAGCTTCATGAGGGCAGCACCAAGTACTGTACTTGGTAAATGTGCGGTATCATTATTTGCTACCACTGATCAAGCACTTCTTTTACCAGGCATGAGGTTCATAGCATTTAATCTTCAGCAGCCCCATGAGGTGGGTATCTGTCCATAGAGAACCAGCCGGTGAGAGAATGAAGGCAGAGGAAGGAAGAAAAAATATGGTCTCTGTCCTTGGGGTTTTAGCCTGATGCCACCTGCTCCTGACTGGTTTCTCTCCATAGCCTTCAACCTGGACTACTACACAGAGGTCCTGGACCTCTCCTACTTGCTTGACCACCTGGCTTCTGATCCTTTCTTCCGCCACTATCGTCAGCTCAATGAGAAGTTGGTGCAGCTTATTGAAGACTACAGCCTGGTCTCCTTCATTCCTCTCAACATCCAGGTACCATGGACTAAGAGGCCTATTCCCTTGGTATGGGCTCTGACAGTGCCTTGGACCTCGCCAAGCCAAGAGTACAGGAGGCTTTGAGGCTCAAACAGTGGTCTTTGTCCTGGGTCATGCTGCCATTCGGTCCCCCTCTGTTTTGATAGCAGGGGCTCTGTGGGCAGGATTCCACTAAAGAGGTTGGACCAAACTTTGGCCCTATTTTGTGTCCACAAATGTTCCCTGAAAGTCATCAGCAAGGGACTTGACCAAGGTCAGGGATAAGTCTTTCAGGTTCCTTCAAGATGAGCAACTGCTTATTGTCTTTGCAAAGTAGTACCAACCCCTGTGTCTCTCACCTTCACCCTGCAAAGATAACCTGGGAGCCGAAACCGGTTTGGCTCAGTGGATAGAGCTTTGGCCTGGGGACTGAAAGGTCCCAGGTTCGATTCTGGTCAGGGGCATGTACATTGGTTGTGGGCACATCCCCGGTGGGGGGTGTGCGGGAGGCAGCTGGTTGATGTTTCTCTCTCATCGATGTTTCTAGCTCTCTATCCCTCTCCCTTCCTCTCTGTAAAAAAATCAATAAGATATATTTAAAAAGATGGGAGACACCCGTGCATGTTGAGTCCTTTCTGCAGTACATGTTTGAGCAAACTTGTCTCTTTCTTTTCCTTTTTAATGCCACACTTTTCTCTAAAAATGAGGTTAAACCTATGATATTAATCTTAACTACCACTTACTGCAGGTTTTCTTTTTCTTTTTCTTTTTTTTTAATATATTTTTATTGATTTCAGAGAGGAAAGGAGAGAAACATTAATGATGAGAGAGAATCATTGACCGGCTGCCTCTTGCATACCTCACACTGGGGATTGAACCAGCAACCCAGGCATATGCCCTTGACCAGAATCGAACCCAGGACCCTTCAATCCACAGGCGGATGCTCTATCCACTGAGCCAAACGGGCTAGGGCAGTTTGTTTTTTTTAAATACTTTTATTTATTTTCTTTTATTTATTTGTTATTGATTTCAGAGAAAGGAAAAGAGAGAGATGGAGAGAGAGAGAAAAACATCAATGATGAGAGAGAATAACTATCAGCTGCCTCCTGCATGTCCCCCCTGGGATCAAGCGGCAACCTGGGCATGTGCTCTCGCTGGAATCGAATCCGGGACCCTTCAGTCCGCAGGCCGACACTCTATCCACTGAGCCACACTCGCTAGGGCCAGGTTTTTTAAATTAGGCATTGTGGTAAGGACATAATACCTTGTTGTTATTAATCCTCACCCAAGGATATTTTTTCCATTGATTTTTAGAGAGAGAGTATGGGAGGGAGGGGAGACAGAGAGAAACATTAGTATAAGAGAGACATATCAATTATTTGCCTCCCACACACCTTTCAACCGGGGCCAGGGATCAAACCTGGTATGTGCTTTTTTTTTTTTTTTTTTTTTAATCTTTATTGTTCAAATTATTACAAAGGTTCCTCATTTATTTCCCCCTCCACCAGGTTCCCACCCCACCCTCTCCCCCCTCCCCATCCCCCATTGTCCTCATCCATAGGTGCAGTTTATGTTCAGTCTCTTCCTCCCTCCCTTTCCCCGATAGTAAATCCCTTTTCAAATAGTAAATCAGTTACTTAGCATTTTCTCATATCAATAATACCTCCACATGCCCAATGATACATTTCACACAAAAGATATTTCCAAATAGGTCAACCAGCCTCATCCAGGCCCCACCCAAGGCACTCACAGATCAACACCCCAGCCCTATACTAACTCAACACATCCAGATCTAAGCCTTCATCACTTGATTCAGCAGACCCTCAAGTTCCCACAAAAGTTTCCAGCCATGTCTGAGAGGCAGCCGTGGGGCGGGGGCAGGCGAGAAGCGAGCTGTTCTGGGCCTGGTTGCTCCAGGCCTGGCCTCTGTTGCTCTGGTTCGTTCCACAACCAGCCTCTCCGGGTCTGGTCACTGCCGCTCCCGACCTAGTTGCTCTGGACTTGGCTGCTGCTGCTCCGGGCCTGGCCGCACCCAACCCGGCTGCTCTGAGCTCGCCTGCTCCGGGCCCGGCCACTCCGGGCCTGGCCGCTCCCAGCCCAGCAGCTGCTGCTCCGGGCATGGCCAAACCCGACCCGGCTGCTCCAGCCTGGCTGCTCCCAGCCTGGCAGCCGCTGCTCCGGGCCTGGCCGCTCCCAGCCTGGCAGCAGCTGCTCCGGGCCTGGCCACACCAGATCCGGCTGCTCCGGGCCTGGCCGCTCCCAGCCTGGCAACCGCTGCTCCGGGCCTGGCCGCTCCAAGCCTGGCAGCTGCTGCTCCGGGCCTGGCCGCACCAGACCCGGCTGCTCCGGGCCTGGCCGCTCCCAGCCTGGCAACTGCTGCTTTGGGCCTGGCCTGGTTTGTGCTCTTGACCCAAAATCGAACCTGTGACTCCAGAGCAAGGGCTGATTCTAACAACTGAGAAACACCGGCCAGGGCTTTAATGCATTATTTTGATCTTTCCTTCCTATCATGTGATGTATGAATTGTTCTTATTACTTTTATGTGGATAAATAAATAGGCTGCATGCATATTTATTCGGTGCTTACTGCTAGCTGAGTACTGAGCCAGGCACTGGAAATACCTTGACCTTGGAGATCAGTGGAGTAGGGGAGGCAGATGAGTTAATAACTTACTAGGTAGGATCAGAGCTGCAATAGGAATAAATCCAGGGAACTATGGCTGTGTATAGAGGAGCTTACCTGCTCTAAATTAGGTGGGATGGTGGTCAGAAAAATGGAATGTAGCCAGGCCACTGGGAACATGCAGAACTACTTCAGGCCAACGAAGCTGCATATACAGAGACTTAATGAGGCAAGATTGAGGTGGGGGTTGGGGCCTGCAAGCAGTTTGGTACAACTTAAATTCCACACCTCCGTTTCACTCAGCTGTTTCTCTCTTCCCTGCCCAGGACAAGGAGAGTGTCCAGCGGGTTCTGCAGGCTGTGGATAAAGCCAACGGCTACTGCTTCGGGGTCCAAGAGCAGCGAAGCCTGGAGGCCATGATGTCTGCTGCAATGGGAGCTGATTTCCACTTCTCCTCGTATCCTTGCTCTCTAGCCTCGTAGCCACAACCAGTGGTGGTGGGGTATGAGTAGTGTATGGGACTCAGAAATAGCTACGTAGCTACTTATACTTTTGTAGATGACTGATTGATTTTGACCAATTGCCCTACACCACCCCCCCCCTCCGGTGACTGTCTTTCATGTTAAAAGGCTGCTTCAGGGTTGGTTGTACCTTAGGACAAAGGAAGATAGTGATCAGAAGGAGCAAAAATACAGAGACCTAGGAATGAAAGGGCATTGGTCACTTGAAAGAGCAGTAAGGTGTTCAGTTTGTCCGGTGTCTTGAGAGTGAAGGGGAAAGGAGGAGGTGCAGGCTGGCGATGGGGGTGCTTGAGTGCCCTTCTAAGGCATGTGGACTTTGGCTCACGGGTGAGCAGTAGGACCAGCAAAGTGGTGTTGCTCAGGCCATGAACAAATGCACATTTTTGAAAAGCCCCTCCAAGTGTGGAGATGCATTTGAGGGATGTGATTGGAGGTAGGAGAGTGTTTACAGTTTCTAGAAGAGAAGAGATTAAATGTTAGTAGTGAGAATAGAAAGAACTGTGTGGCCGAAACCGGTTTGGCTCAGTGGATAGAGCGTCAGCCTACGGACTGAAGGGTCCCGGGTTCGATTCCGGTCAAGGGCATGTACCTTGGTTGCGGGCACATCCCCAGTAGGGAGTGTGCAAGAGGCAGCTGATCGATGATTCTCTCTCATTGATGTTTCTAACTCTCTATCCCTCTTCCTCTCTGTAAAAAATCAATAGAATATAATATATTAAAAGAAAGAAAGAAAGAACTGTGTGAATTGGGAAAATATTAAGGTGATAGGTAGAGGTAGAGCAGAATTTGGACTCCTGGTTTCAGTCTTAGATGGTATGGGTGGTTGTGCTAGTTGCTGAGGTAAGAAAAGAAAGGAAAGTTTGTCGGTTTGTGATGGAGATGAAGGGATGGGAGCTAGCAGATGTGCTAGGTGTGAGGGGGATCTGGGACAATTGGAGCTGTCTGGGAGGCAGCCAGACCTTAAAACTGGGCTGGCGGTGGTAGAGCTGAGGTCCTGTGTAGGTGTCTCTCATGTCACAGAGGCCACAAGTACATGTGAGGTAGGACAGGCTTTCCAGGCTGGTTTCAGAGATTTGGCATCTACACGGGATGCTGGAGACAAGGCAGCGTTGGGGAGGTGCATTCCAGAGTCCTAGTGTAGGGAGGAAAATAGTTCCAGCCAACACTTACTGATCTGTGTCAGGCTCTTTCACACGTAGGAAACAAAGTTCACGGGGAAGTAGACTAGTTACAGATGATGGCACTAGAGTGTGCCATAAGTACCTGAAGAAGGGGTGAGGACCTGCCTTACACAACATGCTGTTAATGGCAAATTCAACTGTACGTACTCAGCAAGAAAAGGGGAAGGGCACTTTAATAGGGCTGTGATATTTGCACACTGTACATTATTTTATGCAGTCATATTCTACTCATAAAACCATATATACCAAGCATGTCAAATTCAGGCTAACTCGGGCCACATAAACATGGTTTAAGTTTATATGGCCACAAAAAAACAACAAAAAAAACAGCTTCAATCTTCATAGAAACATAGGTTTATTTCAATAGAGGCATGCTGAATACAAATGGCTGAAATAAATAACTATTAACACAAAATAATAGAACATTTTAATAAAAATTAATATTTTTCTTGAATATTAACTTACCAGACACTGAATAACTGCACAAATTAATAAGTGTAATGCAAATAAAACTATTTTTCTTGTTCTCCGAAAGCGAAATATTTCCTGTTGGTACACTAAACAAGTCAGTACAGGACTAATGACGTGGCAGTCAGCTGCTAAAATATTCGCTGCTAGCCAAATTTTTTAAACTCTTCTAATACCACTTCTTCAAAATAGACTCGCTCAGGCCATGGTATTTTGTGTAAGAGCCACACTCAAGGGGCCAAAGAGCCGCATATGGCTCGAGAGCCAGTTTGCCAACCACGGGTCTAACCTGAACATCGTTTGGGGGGCTACATACTCCATTTGCAGGATGTTACTTAATCTTTATTCAATCCCCTTTTATAGATGAAGCAGTTGGAGCTCTAAGAGTGACTTAGTGGAGCGAAATGGTGCGTCTGCACTTAAGGCACATAAGGGAAATGAATGCAACACAATTATAGTAATCAGTCATTAGTGAATGTTGTAGTTTGTTATTAATAATTATGTATAACAGGATATTATAAAAATTAAATTAGAAATTTGTATTAAAACGTTTCTTAGATATTGTTACGTTGGCTGGACCACAAAAATATTCATTGTGAACCTCATGTGGCCCAAGGGCCACAAGTTTGACATGCTTGGTGTATACTGTATTTAATAAGTGATTTAAGGAATTTTAAGGTTTTTTTGTTATTGTTCTGATTCCCTGAATTGCTTTGGTTTTTAATTTTTCAGTTACAGTTTACTTTCAATATTATTTTGTATTGGTTTGAGGTATACAGCCTAGTGATTAGATAATCATATACTTTACCAAGGAATTTTAAGGGTATTTCTCACCATATACATTTATGCTGATTTTAGATTCTATTTCCCCCCAACCTTCTTAAGGTTCAACTTTATTCTGTGTATTAGGCAATTAGGGATTGGTATAAACATGGGAAAGAAAGCTTCAAAGTGGTAGTGACGTTTGATTTGCATCATCTCAAAGTGAGGGTTAGCCTGGCTGATTAAGAGGAAAAGGAAATTCAAGGCAAAGAGAACAATGTATACAAAGGCTTAGGAATTTGCCGGGACCGGTTTGGCTCAGTGGATAGAGCGTCGGCCTGCGGACTGAAAGGTCCTGGGTTCGATTCCGGTCAGGGGCATGTATCTTGGTTGCGGGCACATCCCCAGTGGGGGGTGTGCAAGAGGCAGCTGGTTGATGTTTCTCTCTCATCAACGTTTCTAACTCTCTGTCCCTCTCAATTCCTCTCTGTGTAAAATCAATGAAATATATTTAAAAAAAAAAAAAAAAAAAGGCTTAGGAATTTAAGATTGAGACATGTCTGGAGGGGGTTTGCAAGTAGAATGGTGACTTGTGTGCAGGACAGACTTCTGGCTGGGGAGCAGTGATAGTGCCAGGAGACGGGCAGGTGAACGCAGGGTTCATGTGCCCTGCTCAGGAATGTACGCTTCAGGCCAGAGATAAGACAGGTTTGATGTTATTCCAAGTCAAGCAAATGATCCTCAGGACTGACTTGCACAGGAACAAGGCATTGCCTCCTGAGGAAAAGCGAAGGGAAGAGGGCACAGGTTCAGAGTCAGTTTGTGTCGAGTTGAGATGGATCCATGAGGTGGTAAAGAAAGGTCTAACCCCATGGTCGGCAAACTCATTAGTCAACAGAGCCAAATATCAACAGTGCAATGATTGAAATTTCTTTGAGAGCCAAATTTTTTAAACTTCTTCTAACACCACTTCTTCAAAATAGACTCACCCAGGCCATGGCATTTTGTGTAAGAGCCACACTCAAGGGGCCAAAGAGCCGCATATGGCTCGAGAGCCAGTTTGCCAACCACGGGTCTAACCTGAACATCGTTTGGGGGGCTACATACTCCATTTGCAGGATGTTACTTAATCTTTATTCAATCCCCTTTTATAGATGAAGCAGTTGGAGCTCTAAGAGTGATGACCCCAATGTCTCTCACTCAGCATGTGTTAGAAGAACCATTCAAATCTCGGTCTCCCTGGTTGAAGAGTCTCAGTTGCTGACACTGGAGTCATCTAGTAGAGCAGCCATGGTGGCCAACATGGTCAACCCCTATCTCCCACTCAGACCCCAGACCCTGACTCAGGCCAGCCAATCTTACAGGGTTCCATCAGCAGTGTCATGGTCTTTGTCCTTGTGAATCTGGTTTATGTCCTTACTGCTGTCCCAGAGTGGTAGAAGGCACCCTATAGCCCAAGCAGAAATTTTTTGTTTTCTTTGAGCTCACTTGTGTTCTCTCCTTTGGCAGAAGAGAAGTCACAAACATTTCTTAAGTACCTACTGTGTGCCAGGTGCCATGCTAGGCACTCTAATCATTACCTCATTTGATCCTTATAACAACTCTTGTTTTACAGATGTTATAAATGTTAAGTCAGGATTTAAATCCCCATGGTCTGGCACTAAGCATTTGTCATAACAGAGTTGAAGGGTTATCATTCTGGTCTTTTTTTTTTTTTTTTTTTTTTTTTTTTTTTTTTTTTTTTTTTTTTTTTTTTTTTTTTTTAATGTATTTTATTGATTTTTCACAGAGAGGAAGAGAGAGGGACAAAGAATCAGAAACATCAATAAGAGAGAAACATCTATCAGCTGCCTCCTGTACACTCCCCACCGGGGATGTGCCCGCAACCAAGGTACATGCCCTTGACCAGAATCGAACCCGGGACCCTTCAGTCCGCAAGCTGAAGCTCTATCCACTGAGCCAACCTGGTTTCGACAGCATTCTGGTCTTTTGATCCTCAGCAATTTGAGGAAGAGGAGCATTTGAATCTCATTGCTTTGATAGGTTTCTCGGACACTATTGTCCCTGTTGCCTGAAGCTATAATTATGAGGCAGGGGAAAGGATGGAATTACTCTGCCAGACATGGTTGGAAGACATTAGTAGCGATCAGATCCCACTCAGACCAGTTTCCCATCTTTGCCCATGCTATTATCCTTGACATGCCCTCTCTCAGCACTCTGGGAATCCAGGAGAAATACCTGGCACCCTCAGACCAGTCAGTGGAGCAAGAAGCCATGGACCTGTAACAAGAGGCTGTGCTCTGGAGAACAAGTCATGTAACCCAGTGCTGGGGAAAGCTGTAACCCCAGTGAACAGTGGACAGCTCAGCAGGCTGCAGACCCAAGAACAGTCCTCCCAGCCAGAGGGAAGGCTGATGAAGAGACACCCAGCCCTGCAAATGACTTCTGACCAAAGTCAGACAAGGTGCAAGCAGAGCACCCACCACACCCTCGGTGCGCATGAGCTCTGGGCACTGCCACCAGGAATTCAGCACTGGCTCCACTCAGACTATTGTGGAATGTGAATACAAAAGTTTATTTTCTCCTACATGCTGTGACTTTACCTTCCTTCAACCATCCAGGGAGCTGGGGTAGAATGAGTGAATGTCACTTTCCCTCGAAGAGTTGTATTTCTTCATCCAGGGCAGTATTTCCCCAAAGAACAGGATAACGCGGAGCTTTAACACTTGTTCTCCAACGGTGCACTCCAGTTTTAACTGATCCTGAAGCCTGGGGTTTACAGGGGACACTTCTTATCTAGATCTTCATGTTTTATTTTCACTGCATTCATTTGGCAGGTTTTATTCTATTTTTGGCAAGTGCTAGCTGGTTTTCATTTATAGTAGGGATTAAAAGTTTACTTTAAAATGAAATTATTTATACAAAATGCATTGTTTAAAGAAAACTATTGCCAAAACCGGTTTGGCTCAATGGATAGAGCATCAGTTTGGGGACTGAGAGATCCTGGGTTTGATTTCGGTCAAGGGCATGTACCTTGGTTGCGGGCATATCCCTGGTAGGGGGTGTGCAAGAGGCAGCTGATCGATGACTCTCTCTCATCGATGTTTCTAGCTCTCTATCTCTCTCCCTTCCTCTCTGTACAAAATCAAAAATATATATAAATATAAAAAAAGAAAACTATTAAGTATATAATATGGCATGAGGGGCATGGCAAAAATTAAGGTGGTTTAAAGTTGGACTGGTGGTGATTGCTTTCTTTGCTCTTGTTGCAACTGGTTGGGTGCAATTTATATTGGCAACCAATAGGTGGCACCCCAGGCTTAGTTTTGCAGTCATACCTTGTAGCAGTTGTGCCAGAAGTCTTATTTGCAGATACTTGGTCCTGTTAATACATTATGAAGGGCTTGGCATTTTACAAAGTGCCTTCATACACATGGTCCTCATGTGGTTCACACAGCAACTTCTAGAGATACAAATAAGATTGGGACTATTACTAAGCCCCACTTTACATAAAGGAAACAGATGTGTTTAAACCTCAGGCAGCCTAGCTCTCTCATAGTTTGTTGACTTCTTAATTGTGGATACTAAAGGTGAAACTATATGGCTCATATCCCACAGGATTTGAGGCCAGTTGGAAGAAAGAATTTTGACACCTGTAGAGTATTACTGAGTCACAAATCAAGGGGCAGTTAGGTCACTGGTGGTTTGGGCAGTTTAGGAAGATCTATTCAGAAATAGCCTTGAGATGGCAATGACCGCTCTGCTTTCCAACTTTGACAGCCAAAGCAGACTGAAGGGCTATGAGGAGGCTGCTGTGTCTGGAACAGTATGAAAGCAGCCAACCTCTGCTCCCACGCCTGGCCTTGTAGGGGATAATAATTGGGTGCTGCTTCCCTAGCCTCTTTCATCTGCAGAGTTCAAAGCACCTCATTCCTATTAATACCCTGCACAGTAGGTAGAGAGTATCAACAGAGCAAGCCAGGGAAACTGAGGCCAGGAGCCACAGCCTTCGGCTGGCTGTGAGTCACCTGTGGGGCCTGGAGTCCAGGAATCCTGACGCCCAGGCCACTGAACAAGTCTCTCATCAGAGACTGAGGATGCATGCTGTGTTTTTGAAAATAGTACCAATAGCTGTGGTTATGGGTTTTTCTTTTTTAACATATTTTTATTGGTTTCGGAGAGGAAGGGAGAGAGAAAGAAACATCAATGAGGCAGAATCCCTGATCAGCTGCCTCCCGCACGCCCTGACTGGGTATCAAGCTCACAAGCTGGACATGTGCCCCTGACCAGAATCGAACCCGGGACCCTTCAGTCCACAGGCCAACACTTTATTCATTGTGCCAAACCAGCCAGGGCTGGTCATGTTTTTTTTTTGTGTGTTTAAAAAAAAAAAAAAAAATTATATATATATATATATATATATATATATATATATATATATATATATATAAAATATATATATAATATATTTTATATATATATTATATATTTTATATATATATATATATAAAATATATTTTTTTAATATATTTTATTGATTTTTTACGGAGAGGAAGAGAGAAGGATAGCTAGAAACATCAATTAGAAACATTCATCAGCTGCCTCTTGCACACTTCCCACTGGGTATGTGCCCGCAACCAAGGCACATGCCCTTGACTGGAATCAAACCCGGGACCCTTCAGTCCGAAGGCCTATCCACTGAGCCAAACCGGTCTCTGGTGGTCATGGATTTTGATTCTTACTCCATCACGGAGGCCACAGCCATCACCAAAACAAATCAGTTGCAGAGAGATGTCATTAGAACTTTATGGGCTTGTATGAGCATTTATTCTCTGCAGACATGGAGTAGACATGGATGGGATAATCCAAAACTTTTTCAGGCATTGGTATGACAGCAGGGTTGTTTTCTCTAATAAACGTATCTCTCCACCTCCCACTGATAGCAGAATGATTTTCATCTTGGGGAGGGTATAGCACAGTGCAGAAAGGACTCTGGATTCCATGTGAGGTCTGTTCATCATGAAATGTACAGGGTAGGAGAAAGACTGTCCTCCAGTATGGCTGGGATATGGCAACGGTCCTTAAGGTTTTTTTTAAATTTAATTTCCTGATAAAAATAGCAGTGAAAAACTTGGAAAATAAAATTAGGCTAATAATCACATAACAAATAAAAATACAACCTATAATTTTATATTGAAATGTATATTTTGTTTATTTTCTTTTTCTATACATACCGAGGGACAGTTATGGCATTTATATAAGTGAGATATATTATTGCTTTGTAACCTGCCTTTTTTTGTTGACACTTTCATATAATTAAAAATATGAAGTCCTTTTAATGTTTACATCATAATATTCTGTGGTATGGCTATAAAATTGTTTACTTACTCAAATTCCCATGGTTAGTCTATAAATCATTACCAATTTTTTGCTATTGGAAATAGCGCTATCTGAATCTTTTTTTTTTAATTTAAATATATTTTATTGATTTTTTACAGAGAGGAAGGGAGAGGAATAGAGAGCTAGAAACATCGATGAGAGAGAAACATCAACCAGCTGCCTCCTACACACGCTCTACTGGGGATGTGCCCGCAACCAAGGTACATGCCCTTGACTGGAATCGAACCTGGGTCCCTTCAGTCCGTAGACCGACGCTCTTTCCACTGAGCCAAACTGGTTTCAGCTGAATCTTTTTTCTTTTTTTTTTCTTTTTCTTTTTTTTTGTAATCTTAAAATGGGAGAGAGAGAGAAACATAGATGTGAAAGAAATACATGGATTGGTGGCTTCCCGAATATGCCTGGACCAGGGATCTAACTTGCAATCTAGGTACATGCCCTGACCAGCAATCGAACGTACCACCAGCCAGTCTGCTTTCCACTGTTTCTGAATTAGCAAAAAGCTCCCCTCCAGTTGGCTGAGATAGGAAGCTTGATCCCAGTAGGGTGTGTGGAAAGGTTGATCTTGGAAAATCTTTGACCTTTCTCAAGGCTCCCTTTCAAGAAGGGCAGGGGAGTGATTACAGACCCATCCCAGCATTACCAAGGCCCACCCAGCTTGTTATTTTTAATATATCTATTGATTTCAGAGAGGAAGAGAGAGGGAGAGATGGAAATATCAATGATGAGCAAGAATCATTGATAGGCTGCCTTCTGCACATCCCCCACTGGGTGACCTGATGGGATTGAACCTGGGGACCCTTCATTGAGGCTCTATACTTGAGCCAAATCAGCCAGGGCCCCACCCAGTTTTTGAAAGTAGTGGGGAGGCCCAACTGCCCCAGACACCTGGAAGGAAATTCTCTAGTAAGCTGAGTAGCCCCCTTCCTGTCCCTCCCCTTTTCTTTCTTGCCCCTGGCCATGAGCCTTTACCCAGCCTGATCTGGTATGCCCACCCCTACTTCCTATCCCCTGAAGAAGGAAGAATCCCAAATTAGCACATATCTCAATGGCATTGGGCCTACTGAGGACAGGGGAAGTCATAAGTCTCATTAACAACCGACTGTCCATTTCCTGCCAGGAAGCCAACTTCAAGATAGCACCAGAAGTTCAGGTGTCCAGGAGGCTTAAGGCTGCGGAGTGTGAAGGGACGGGCTGGTATTTGGAGCCCAACTAAGATGAAAAAGATGAGTTTTATAAAAATGTGCTGAACTAAAATACAAAGCAAAGCTGGAAATTTTCCACATCCAAAACCCTGAAGCAACTGTGGAGAAGGGAGATGAAAGGCCCCTTCAATCTATCCCAAATGAATGCAAACTCTCAAGAAGTGTGCTTACTGTGCAAGTACAGCTCCCTTCACACTGGTGGCCTCTTCCTGTATATTCATCCTGGAACCTCCACATTGCTCTGTGGAATCATATAAACTGCAGAGAAGGGATATTGGGATATGAGTGAGATTTCTCCCCAACTCATAAAGCATGCCAGTGGTTGCACAATCTATTCTGAATTAAACGTAAGTCCCCTGTACACTCAGAAAAGGAAATTTCAGGATGACTTTATTCTGGAGGAAGAAGGGGCAGGGGGGAGAATGTGTCTTCCTCCTTCCCTCCATTCTTCCCTCCCACCTTCTCTTTCAACATACATTTCTTAAGTGCCATAATCTGATGTATGAAGTACTGTATGTAGCCATAGATTGAAGACTCCATGAGTTCAGAGTCTGGGATCTCCCTCTTTTATCTCTAGACAAATAAAGAGTTAAATTTCCCAGAGAACAGTAAGGAGAAAATTGGGTGGAGATGAGAGATGAATCAGCCTTTGACATACCTGTCTACTGCCCCCGCAGACATTCCTGGCCCCTGACTCACTGTGTAGGTGGGGCTGGGGGTTCTGAGAGGTGGGGGGCCTACTCTGCAGAAACCTGCTTTTCTCCCCCTCTACCCTAAGTCCTTCCCCCCGCCCCCCCTCCCCCCCACACAGCAAGGTTTGGGGGATGAGTAGACCCTGTGAACAGGTGAAGAATTGAAAAGGAACAAAGGATGTAACCAGATTAAGGAAATTGGTCCACTACAGTTTTTTGTTTTTGTTTTTTTCCCCTCTCACTTAAGACAATTCCTTTCTGCTGGGCCCTAGGGTGGCATTAGATTGAGAGTAGAGTAAGCCTTTCTTGATTTTTAGAAGCAGGGCAGCATAGCATAACATGGTTCTTTTTAAGCTTATTTTTTAAAAAATATATTTTATTGATTTTCTACAGAGAGGAAGGGAGAGAAATAGAGAGAAACATCGATGAGAGTCATCGATCAGCTGCCTTTTGCACACACACACTCCCCCCCCCCCCCCCCCCACTGGGGATATGCCCGCAACCAAGGTACATGCCCTTGATTGGAATCGAACCCGGGACCTTTCAGTCCCCAAGCTGATGCTCTATCCATTGAGCCAAACTGGCTTCAGCTCAAGCTTATTTTTAACTCACAATTATAGACATTTGTGTGGCTATTTTAGCCATATGTGGAAATGGGAAACCCTGACCACTGGGCTCCTGCCCTTGCTAGTTTCTGGGGAACCCTCTGAACACAATTTGAAAACAGCTGTTGTAGTCTAAAAACTATGGACGTTGGAGTCCGATCCATTCCATTCCCCAGGCACATTATTAGGTTAGTTAGCTGCACTGAGCCCCATTCTCTTCATCTGCAAAACAAAGATGATAATAGCAGTCATGTCTGTTGCTATTTTTAAAAAAATTTATTTTGAGAGAGAGAGATTGATTTGTTGTTGCACTTATTCATGCATTCATTGGTTGACTCTTTAAATGCCTGACCTCGGAATCTAACCTTGGCGTATAAGACAATGTTCTAACCAACCACGCTGCTATTATTACAGTGCTCTGTTCTCTAGGAAGAAGCAGGAATGGGGCACTGTTGGACAGAACAATCTTGGTGAAAGCATCTGAAATCAGGTTTCCCCCCAAAGGCACTGGACATGTATACCTTGGACATGTGTGTATAGGAGTATCTTGGCTTTCTAGAAGGAGCCACAGAGGCCTGCCTAACCCTTGGCCTCCCTAGGGTGCCTGTTTGGTTCTGAGAAGGCACTTTGAACCCAATGCCTT